TCTAGTTCTCCAGACACATAAAACATTCATAGAGAAAATTTTACAAATCTGTTTCTCCAAACATCTAGAACACCAGAGAAAAACTTATTAAACTGGATTTCTGGAAAACCAGGCTAGTAAGTTTTTCTCTATGAATGTTTTATATGTCTGGAGAACCAGGTTAGTAATTTTTCTCTGATGTTCTAGATTTTTGGAGAAACAGATTAGTAAGGTTTTTTCTGTTGGAGTTCTAGATGCCTGGAGAAACAGGTTAGTAAGTTTTTCTCTGTTGTCGTTCCAGATGTCTGGAGAACCAAGCTTCAAACTGAGAGGGAAGTGACTAATTAGCACTTTTAACTACTGCTGTAAACAAGTGGAATTTTCTGAATTTGAGTCAAAAGTAGCCCAATGACCAAAAAACATAAATGTTTTTACAGCTGGAAGACAGTCTGTCTAAAACAACATAGTTACACTGGTCTTATGTTTTTTGAAAGGTCTTGCCCAGATTTCTGTTAGATATTGGGATGTTTTTTATATACAACACTGTCGAATACTTAATATTCTTACATTTTCAAAAAATCCTGTAATTATTCAATAGGGAAGCTAAATCTGAACATGAATAATTAAATAGATAGAATAATTATTTTGAGGGGTGTGTGTTTAGGGGTGTGTGTCTAGGACAATTAAGAATATTTTTCAGTTGTATGAAGTTGTGATTTCAATAAATGAAATATTTCTGTGTATAATGTTTGTGAAAATTAATGAAAGATCATTAAAATGTGTATGACATTATCTCGTGTATATTTTTTTCTTAAGACACCAGGTGAAGTCAGCAAGCTCAACTTTAATGAACAGATTGACCTTGGAAAAGAGTTATCTATTCTACATTCACAGTTGATAGACTGCATTCCTAAAATGAATAAAATAGTAAGTTTTCTCTGTTGATTGATGTTTTAGATGTCTGGAGAACCAGTTCAGTAAGTTTTTCTCTATGAATGTTCTGGATTTCTGGAAAACCAGGCTAGTAAGTTTTTCTCTATGAATGTTCCAGATTTCTGGAGAACCAGGTTAGTAAGTTTTTCTCTATGAATGTTCAATGATACGTGGTATACTTGTACACTTGTTTGTGTATCTTTTTCCTGAAGCCCCCAGTGGCATAGTGGTAAGTCCGCAGACATATAAGGCTATAAACCGGGTGTTAATACCTATGGTGGGCACAGTACAGATAGCCTATTGTGGAGCTTTGTGATTAAATTATGTATGTTAAATATTTTTAGTGACTTTTTAATATCATAGCTGTATGTAAATATAGACTATAGTTTGATAAACTAAATTTTGTATAGCCTGTTGTGTAAAATATCTATATTTCTAGAAGTTTCAAACACTGAAAGTTCATTATGTTCCTATTTCCTTAAAACAGTGTGGTAATGTAAAGATACCAGCATGGAATGTACCCTTTGCCAGGTCCTAACTGAAAATTATCACTGTTTAATTTATTCATTTTAAATTATTATTATAAACCGTAAACAGATACTTAGAGAAGTTTGTTTTTGTCAAAGTCATAAAATCATTAATTTTTTTTTTATTCAAGGTTTGGAGAAAAAGAACATTTCATGGTATTCTTGAACCAGTTTGTTGATCAGCAACAAGACACAATGAGGAACCTCCTCCAGCAGATTTCTGTAAGCAGTGATGCCTAATTACCTTAGGTTATTTTTATCTTTTCGAACTAAATTAAATTGTTTGGAAAATTAAAACATACGTTTATAATTATGTAACTTAATTTAGTTTTGATATAAATAGGTATCTTGTTCTAATTGGAAATTAATATTAATGATAAATAAGTCTTTATTGTAGCTTTAATACGGTCAGTATTAGATGATCAGCATTTAACTTTTCGTGGAAACTCTTTTGCTACTAAAGCATCTGAAGCTTACATGAAGCTACTTGGAAATAAGGTGAGATATATGATATAATGATAATAATGATATAATTAATTCCTTTATTCTTTTGAGATGTGCACACTAAGTTATCAAACATATATAAAGTTTTTGTAAACAGTTATCATTTTTATTTTGACAGGGTTGTATAACTGTAATTCACAAAAAAAATTGGAAGCATTAAAAATTAAAACATAAAACAGGAGCATTAAGTTATTCACATAAAATATACAAATATGGCTAGTACCATTTTAAATAGAATTATTTGATTGAATATATATGTAATTTGAATGCCGTATGTGATTATGTCTCATTGTTAGAGACGAAAGATTTTACCAAAATCTATTATCCCACCAGTAACCGTATCAAAACATGACGTTAATTCATTTTTGCTTCAGTAAATTAGTGATTATGAAATATTGAATAAGAGTATGAGCTTAACACTTTGGATTATACTTTTCCACTTAAGTGATATAAGCAGGAAAGAATCAAAATTACAGTGTATTCATTGATTTTTTGTTCAGTACCTATGTACTTCATGAATTTGGCCTAAACTATAAGGATTTGATAAAGTTATTTCTGTGTGCATTTTTTTTTCCAAAGGCTTGTATCGTTGTAATTTCAATATTGTAGTTCATTTTTGGAAATAAACAATACTTTATAAAACACGTTTATAAAAAAATTTCCATAAATTAAAAAGATCTTGTGAAAAAGCTTAGATCATGTTTAACCTCAAAATATGACTAACTATAAAGCAATATTTGTTTCATATTATGAAAAATGTGTCTAAGTTTTAGTTTATTATCAGTTATCACAAGAAAATGAATTCACAAAACATTCTTCAAGCTTAGGTGTATAGAAAAATATGTATTTTTTAATTTTTGGAAGGTTAATGATTAATGAAATTTTACATTAATATTTTTTATCCAAAAAATAACCTTAAAGTCAATAATTTTCTGTGTTAATTTCTTTTAAATATATTACAAATAAATGGGAAGGATCATCATTTCTAGCTGTTGCTCTGTAAGTGAAAAAAATTGTAAAATTTTCAGTGTTTGTTATTTTGTTAAAGCATTTTTCATATTAAAAAGACTACATTAAAAGGCATGTTGGTTGTACAATACATCTATATGACAGTAATCTACATACACTAATATGAGTAATGCCATAAAGATCAATGTGTTAAAATTAGAGATGATATTAATCATGATACTGTTGGCTTCTTCCAAGACTTCTAGAATATAAAAACTATTTTGTAAAAGTAGTTTAGTAAAAGAAGAGAGAGTGAATTAATTACCTGATTACAGTATCTGCAGGATACCTTGCAAGATTTTGTGAAGAGTGTTTTAGAATTTGAAGATGATTGTGAGGTAAGATTTTAGTGTGGATTTCTTAGATGCGAGAACTTCATGTGCTCAGCATTTATTCTATAATCTTATTTTTAGGCCATTAAAACTTACACTTTATAAAATGTGCAGTTGCAGTTATTGAACAGAGTTGTTTAAACTTAACACTTAAATACACCATTTCGAGTTGCAGTTATGTTTTTACTTGCCTAGTGCACCAACCAGAAAAAATAAAACAACAAATGATAGAAGACCAGAATATTTGTCAGTGGCTACAAGAATACCATAAACTTGCATTTAGCATTACAGTGTGATTCGGTCGAAAATGTTTGTTATTTGAAGGAGTTGGGAAACACAGTTACTTAAATGGGTTCATAAAAATTTTGATTTATAAAAAGCAGTGAAATCTTGATACTAACCATGTCAATAATATATGTCATTAAAATAATCAACATACATTTTATTCTTGGTATATTTACAAAATTGATACCATTTAAGCAACTGTTCATACTCTTTTATTGTAAAGTATTTTCATAAATTTCATTTCTGTATTAAAACCATTGTGTTATTAATGTGATATCCGTGTTATCAAATAAAAGTTACATACTGATATATATATAGTTTTGAATACTCATGCATGACATGCAGTATTATGTGATGTATACATAATATTTTTTAATGTAGATTGCTTTATATATTCTGAACCATTTTTTATACTTAAAAGGTTAAGTTAAGGGGTATATTAAGTTATACAAAATGAGTACTTTTTGGTAATTGTTTTAGGCAAATGAATTTTGTCAAACTTTCTTAAGAAAACAGTTTTTTCTTTTACTGTCTTTCCTTGTCAGGTAGATCCTAGCAAAGTTCCTAATGACAATATTCTACAGAAACAGCAAAAAAACTTGTTAAGGTTTGTGGAGGAAGCTTGGAATAAAATTACTAGTTCAACCCCAAACTTACCTTTGTAAGTACTTACACTGTAATATGTATGATAAAAATAATGATAGGAACTTAAAAAGTCAAGAACATATTTGTGTATCTTATAGGTAGAATGAGGTTATATTTGTTATGAAATTAGTAGAAAAGTCACTTAGAACTTAACTAGATCTATTTTATGTGTTGATATGTGGAAAACATCAATATATTTTAAGATCAACCAACATCTTATAACATTTTTAAAATAAATATAAATACACTTGTAATTGAAGTACTTCAAACTTTGTGGTTCATTTGTCATATACAGCTCAGAAATGTGACTTTAGTTAAATGTCTTAATATTTTTGTTATATAAAACCAATATTGAAAAATAATAAATAAATGAAGCTTACAAATATGTTAATTAGCTAGTTACACTGTCTGTAATTTTCAATTTTCTTCAGAGAGCTTCAGGAAGTATTTTGTGAGTATAGGAAGCAGCTAGAAGCCATTGGGAAAGAACACATTTGTGATAAATTAATCAGTGCTTCCATATTTTTGCGATTCCTTTGCCCATCTATCCTCTCTCCGAGCCTTTTTAACCTCACTAAAGGTAATTATTTCTTGAAAAAATTTTTAAATTACATGCTTTATTACAAGTAATACAATAGTTTTTAAAATTGTGGAATGTATTATTTATTTTATTAAAACTTTTTCATTCACTGTAAAAAACATACTTTCGATGACATGTGAAAATTAAGTGAAAGTTATATTCCTGATGTCTGTTGTTTTTTTGTTCTGTAAGTTTTTGTTTAGTTAACCTTCCCAGTATAGGTAGGTAAAGATACACATGTCGTAACCTTTGTACAAAATTAATTTAAGATTTAACTACTTTTATTATTAATGTATAACAATGAACTTGACATCAAAAGGTAGTTGATAATTCAAGTTTTTATATTATCCTAGTTTTGAGTTCTCTAATTACAACTGGTGATAGTTAAATAAATTTTTAGTCTTAACTTCTCTGTATAACATGATACTTCTTCACTCCAAATTGTCCATTTTAGACATCCTTTCCACCCATATTTCAGCTTCTAAGTTTAATACAAATTACACTCTTATAGTATAAATACTGCCAATAGATAATATAAACTTATATCATCCAATCTTCTTGCTTTACTGAGATATAAGCCAGAAAGTCAAACCCATATGCCACCCTGCCCTCCTATAACATCTACCTTTTAAAGAAATGTCAGAGAAGACATTTATCTATTGGATTCTTTATAAGGCTAGGTTGTTCTGACAACAGGTTATGAATTATTCTGCTTACAATTTTATTCTTTATTTAATTATAAATTATAGTTGTTATAAGAGATTGTATTCTTTTTTATTTTGTGTTGTAAATTTAATATTTGAAATAAATAAAAATTGAATAAAATACTAACAACAACCCTACTGCAAAGAAGTACTAAATGTAAAAATTAGAAACTTTTTAGGTCAGATAAGAATACTTAAATTGAAAAAAAATTAATAAAAAAGTTTCTTTGTGAGGGAATGTACACAAGCTGGATGTGTGTGATATAATTCAATACTTTTTTACCATAACTTGTGCTATGCTTTCACCAAGTGATTTACTGCTATATTATGTTCGCGGGTTTGAATCTCCATTCCACCAAACATGCTTGCTCTTTCAACAGTGGGGGTGTTGTAATGTGACGGTCAATCC